GGTCAGTTGAAGTTCGGAGCTCCTTCAGAACTTCCGGATCGTGACCACCCTTGTGCAGGTCCTTTAGTGCCTTATCCTGGTGGACCTGCAGTAACGCCATGGCGTGTAAGGTGGAGGCAGCTTCTCCACAGGCCGCATAAGCACTGCTGGTCAGACCAGACGAGTACCCACAGGCACGGGAGGGAAGGGACGGTTTGCCCCACCAGGTGGAGGCGGTATTAGGACACAACTGCATTGCTACCGACCACTCCACCGTGGGCCCGTATACCCCCTAGCTGCACCTCTGTCTAGGGTGGTGAGGGAGGAGGAGCTAGCAGGTTGATTTCTGGCAGTAAAAGGTGCCGTCCACGACCTAGCAAGTTCCTCATGCACCTCCGGGAAGAATGGCACCGGGGCGGGGCGCTGAGAACCAGCAAGGGCCACCCCGAGAAACTAGTCATCCAACCTCGAGGGCTCGGGACGCGGTGGAGGTCTCCATTTGAGGCCTACCCTCTCAGCAGTACACTATAAAAAAAAATCTATTTTATATTTTTAATTTAACAATATAATCAATATTTTATTTATTAAAGCCATGTATTAATCTAATCAAGTTAGCGTTTTTAAGCATTTTGTATTTATTTAAAATAATAACTCACAGCAGTATAATTTAAACAATATATTTTATTTGTGATCTTATGTTCAGCTATTCTTTTTAATAGTTAACCTTTAACTATTTTTTTATTTTTCAGATCATCAGTCATCAAAGCACGGTAAATATTGTTCACAGACGCAGAGATTTACTTTAAATTTCATCAAGATGATTGCTCACTAAAAACTCCCACAGATCATGTTTTCAGGCCATTTTAACTCTTTCCCTGCCAGCATTTTTTGAAAAAAGGTGCCAGCCACTGCCAGCGATTTTTATGATTTTCACAAAAATTTGATGGCCTCCAGTATATTTTGCTGTATGAATATTTGAATATGAAATACACCAAAATAAAGATCGGAGCATCTACCTTTAAACAAAAAAATATGTTTTATTCTAGCTTAAAGCATTATTTTTTTTATCAACACTTGAATATAGGTAGGTTTCATAAAAATGCATAATTTTGAGCAAAATCCACGACATTCTAATTTATTGAGACGCACCTGTACACCACTTTCTGGATCAACATTTTACTCTGTAACATTATGCAGTTTTCATTTATATGCTGTCTATTGCTGATGATCGCATTATTTTTCATATGCATCTGTTTACATAAGAGATGGCTGGTTTCTCCGTCCTGTTCACGTGTGTTTTTGTTCAGGAGGTTTTGTACTCGTTCAGAAGATGCGTAATAGCGCCCCCTAGTGTATAACAGTGAAAACACGGAAAGCCGTACGGAAAGGAGTGCGCATGCTCGTGCGGCGACCGGCAGTGGGATTTTCAGCGTCTTGTGTGTTATGTTTTAGTGAGTTTTATTCATGTTTTTATGTTTAATTGCTTATGATTGTCATGAACAAGTGCTTTTAGATACGGCCCTATCGATCTGAACTAATGGAGCTTTTAATTATCGCTGCCTTGTGGACTTTGATTAACTTAACCTTCGGCTGTCCAGGGATCACACTCCCAAACTCCGAGGATACAATATACTAGAGATCAGCTGTTACAATGGAATACGCAGAATCCAATCACCGGATTACAATTAGATCTTCAGTATGTATTCAACAAAGGGATCATATTAAAACTGCGACTGGAGATAATTCAGGTAAAGCTAAGAAAAGGAAGCGTGGGAAAAGAGGAGGAGTTAGACTGCGATTAAGGAAACAACAGCTTACCCGTATTCCCCTGCCTTCCTTGGTTATGGGAAATGTTCAGTCTTTACGAAACAAACTTGATGAGCTACAAGGGAATGTTCGTTACCTTCGGGAATATAGAGACAGTTGTGTCGTGGCATTTACAGAGTCTTGGCTTACCGAGCAGGACTTGGACAGCGATCTGTTTATTGATGGATTTGGTATTCCATTTCGCCTGGATCGGAGAGCCGACGCAACAGGTAAATCACGTGGAGAGGGCGTGTGTCTCTATGTCAACAAGCGCTACTGTTCCTCTGTGACTGTTAAGAGAAAGACTCTGTACGCCTGACATTGAATTGTTATCGGTATCGCTACGTCCATTCTATCTGGCTCATGAATTCCCGCAAATATTCATAACAACTGTGTACATTCATTCTAAAGCAAATCATATTACTGCAACGAGCACTTTATTTGATGTGGTGCATAAACTCCAGAACATTTCACCTGAAGCACCCAATCTCATTCTTGGAGATTTTAATAATGTGTCCCTACAAAAGACTTTGACAAATTTTTATCAATATGTAACTTGTCCAAACAGGCAGAATAAGATTTTGGATTTCTGTTATGGGACTGTCAATGGAGCATATAAATCAGTACCCTTGCCTGCCTTAGGTTCTGACGACCATAATTGTGTACTGCTTCTTCCTACTTATACATCTGTCCTTAAGATAGAAAAAATTCAGACCAAAGAAGTTAAAATCTGGTCTGAAGAATCCACTGCTTGTCTTCAGGGATGCTTTGACTGCACCGACTGGGAGATGTTTAAAGACTCTAGTAAGGACATTGATGAACTCTCTGATGTAGTCTGCTCTTATGTTACTTTTTGTGAGAGCATGATTATTACTACTAAAATGATTAAGATCTACCCTAATAATAAACCTTGGATGTCAAAAGCAGTTAAGGATAGTTTACAGAAGAAGAAGCTGTCCTACAGTCAAGGAGGGACCTTAGAAAGAGAAGCAGCAAAAAGGAGGTTAAAGTGGAAGGTATAAAACTAAAGTAGAGAATAAACTGGCCGAGAAGAATATTGCTTCAGCATGGTCTGGTATGAAAATTATAGTAGGCACACAGCAAAGTGTGAATAGAACTGATATTGCCATGGATGGTTTCAGGTCAAATAGTGAATTTGCCAATGCACTAAATAATGTTTATTTGAGATTTGATAAGTTTGATTTTAAGAATAAAGTTGAGGAATTGAGATGTAAATTTAAAGATAATCATCATCTCGTTCTAGAGCAAAGATCAGTTGAAAAATATTTTCTTTCTTTAAAGTTAAATAAGAGTCCTGGTCCAGACAATATATGTGGCAAACTACTGGCATATAGAGGAGTCAAGGACGCTACAATTACTCTACTTAAGCATCTTCTTCTGTTTAAGCATCTAGAAGGGAGAAATACTCATGCTAGACTGTTGTTTATTGACTTTTCCTCAGCTTTTAATACTATCCACCCCCACATTTTAGCTATGAGATTGATTGAACATTTTAAGCTGAGCAACAATTTGGTGGGTTGGATATTGGATTTCTTGATAAATAGAACACAGAGGGTGAAAGTAAATGGTATTTTATCAGATCCATTATGTTCGTCCACTGGTTCACCCCAGGGTTGTGTTCTTTCACCTTTATTTTATATTCTGTATACTAATATGTGCCAAAGTAAGCATGCAAATAGGACTATATTGAAATTTGCTGATGACACAGTTATCGTGAGTTTGCTACACGATAATTGGTCCTATTATTGAGGAGTTTGTCACCTGGTGTGATGAATCTTATTTGGAGTTAAATATAACTAAAACAAAGGACATGATTATAGATTTTAGAACTTGTGCTTTACGTTATGACACTACGATCATTAAAGACCAGGCGGTGGATTGTGTAGAATGCAACAAATATCTCGGGACAGTCATAGATTCTAAATTGACTTTTGAAAAGAACTGTGAGATGGTATGTAAAAAGGGACATCAGCGTCTGTTTTGCCTCAGAAAGCGGTCCAGATTTCACATTGATAAATCTATGATGACCCTTTTTTATCGGGCTTTTATTTAATCAGTCTTGACGTTCTCCCTTGTGGCATGGTTTGGTAATTTGTCTTTGAAGAACAAAAATTCTTTGAATCAAATTGTTAGGTGGGCAAGTAAGATTATAGGCGAACCACAACTTAACTTAGCAGCTCTTTACTCTAACCATTTACAGCGTAAAGCGAGTTTTATTATTAGAGATAGTTCCCACCCTTTACAAGCTGAGTTTCAGCTCCTCCCCTCTGGATGTCGGTTCGTGGCTCCTAGGTGGAGAACTAGACGATATAGAAATACTTTTGTACCTGCAGCTATAGAACTAATAAATGAAAAAAGCAGGAGATGACACTCTTCACTATGCATGGTTACTTTACGTATTTTAGGCGGGCGTTGAGGGTGTGTGTAGAAGCACATTGTCATGACTTTTTTATGTTTTAAAATTTATAGTATTGTATGTCTTATGGATTGTCTTAAGGATAGATTGCTGAATCTCTTGTCTGCACAACAAATTTACCTTCGGGTACTAATAAAGATACCTTGAGCCGTAAAAACTCGTCTTTGGCGGGGAAAGAGTTAAGTCTTATTTTGATGTAACAAAGGGTTATATCTAAGTGTGTGAGTTGTTTACTTACTTTTTTAATCAGTCTTCTCATTAATGCCATTATATTGTTCATTCAGACTGATTCGCGAACGCGGAACTCGCGCAAACACAAGAGGCGGGGGGATTTATCGCATGAACCAATCACAGCCAAACATAACCAATCATATCGCGATGGAGGCATTGCCGCCTCTCACGTAACTTTCCCCAATCATTCTCAATTACCCCCCAGTAAAGTCACGGCACGCTATGGTGTCTCTGTTAATAGTCAATGGGCTCAGGGGAGGCAAGCCTCCGCTGTAACTTTACCTGTTGGTGTAGCTGTTGGACAGTGTTACTTTAGAAAAATTTGTAATTTATACACTTTTTAATGTTATATTTTGTAATATGGGAGTTGTTTTATTTTTGTACCACAAATGTTTTTTTCTCATCCAATATTCTGAGGAGACACTGCCTCCCTTCCCTTCTCGGAGGAAACGCCCCTTCGCTTACCATATAATAGTGAAAACACAGAAAGCCGGAAAATTCCGTCAATGGTGGGGAAAGAGTTAAATGAGTCATAAATGTACTTTTATTAAATTTGATGATCAGTTTACAATATAAATATTAAATAAAACGTATTACTCTGTTTATTAAAGATTCAGAACAGTATGTGTGTCTGATCAAGATTCAAAACTTCTGGATGATAATGTAAAATATTAATAAAAAAATGAATGAATACAAATGTAATGATGTGAGATTTGATGGGTTTGTGTGCATGTGAACATCAGAAAGAGGATTTACATTGAGTCTCTCTATTGTTTAATCACACAGAGACACTGAGGAATCAGGATAAGCCCTAAATCCAGCACAGAGGGGTTCAGTGAATGTAGTGTTGAATGTGTGTAAGTGTGTGACTGTGTGTGTGTCAGAGACGCTGTAGAAGGACAGAGTGCCGGCCGACACGTCCACATACACTCCTGCTCTCTTAGAGGATGATGGGGCAGGTATATCAGTGCTGTTCTTATTGTGCCAGACAGTGAATCTGTTATCAGAACAGATCAGACTCCAGGATTTGTTGTTGTATCCAAATATACAGTCATCTCTCTCTCCTTTCCTGCTGATTCCTTTATATGACACTGATATTTTTACACGTCCACTCCATTCAGCCTCCCAGTAACAGCGTCCAGTCAGACTCTCAACACACAGAACCTGATGACACTCATCAAATCTCTCTGGATGATCAGGATATGACTGTTTCTCTCCCTCGTGTGCCACTTTGCTGTTCTCATTAGACAGAATGAGACGAGTGTTTACTGTGTTTGGATCCAGTGTGAGATCACAGGCATCTGAACACAAGAAGAAAGAAACATATAGAGCAACAAAACAGATGAGTGAGTGAGTGTGTGTGTGTGCGCGTGTAGACCTACACTTTCGTGGTCCTGCTGTCATCATGATCTCTCCTCCATGATCCACACTATAAACACAAAAACACACATTACTGTACATCTGCATCATTCACACACATTCAGCATGTCAGTATTAGTGTTTGACATACTTGAGTATCTGCAGTTTATAGTTGGGATCCTCCAGTTTGTGTTTGAGCAGCTGGACTCCTGATTGTCCTGGGTGATTGTAGCTCAGATCCAGCTCTCTCAGGTGTGAGGGGTTTGAACTCAGAGCTGAAGACAAATAACCACAGCCTTCCTCTGTCACCATACAGCCAGACAACCTACAGAATAGAGCACAGTAGTGTGTTGTTGGGAAGAGAGAAGTACATGTGAAGCTGTATCAGCTCCTGTTCAGCCCCAGCCTCATGTTGCTGAACAACTCTTAACTACAGAAGCCAGACAGTGAGATACACGTCACTGACTGCCGACTGCATCTCTCTAGTTAATTCAGGATGGACTTTAGTAACTACACTAAACATTGTTTAAACGATGGCCTTACTAGTGGACTGAAAACATAATTTATTCAATAGACATAATTATCTCTCACGCATACAAACACACAATGTAACTAAATAATATTTAACATATGTACATTCATTGTGATGTCAGAAGACAACTGGCTCCTCTCAATGTTTTTCTCTTCTCTAGAAACATCTTACAATGTTTTTTTTTTTATCTTTGGCTGCTCACTCTGGCTTTAAAACATTAAGGAACAATATTCAGTAAAGCAGTTTAGAAAATACCTGGATTGTGAAAAGTGACTTGATATTAGTTAATTTTTTTGAACCAAATTAATAAAAATGAATGTGAAATTCAAACCTTAGTATCTGCAGCTGACAGTTTGGACTCTTCAGTCCATCAGAGAGCAGCTTCACTCCTGAATCCTGCAGGTCATTGTTACTCAGGTCCAGCTGTGTCAGGACAGAGTTTGAGGATTGTAGAGCTGATGACAAACTCTCACAACACTGAGCAGTGAGATTACAGCCAGCAAGACTAGAAGAGATGAAATATTAACAAATAAAATAATGAAATGTCTGTTCTTAGGAACCTGGAACAAAATATTTTTAACATTCCAGCCTGAATCACATTACATCATGAGTGTGAGGAGATAATCTGATAATTTTATCATTCAGGTTCATTAAAATCAGAGATCAGATGAGCTCTTGACTGTTTATTTGCTTCAAATATTCACACATTTAAAAATGTAGCAATGTTTTACTGAAGATATAAAAATCTAAGTTTTGAATTATGAACCTGAGAGGATCCTCTCCATATATCTGTGTATTTAGTGTCATTTTACGGTTTTACAGATTAAATACTTACTGCATAAATGTCCATAAATGTGCGTACGACAGTCAGCGGAAGTGAGAAAAAAAGTGTTTATTACGTTTGAAATATGGATATTTATCTTACAAAAATGCATGGATTCGCTACAGGAGGCCTTTATTCACCCCTCGGAGCCGTGTGAGGGACGTTATATTGCGGATATGCGCCCTTTATTTCACGTCCTCTGAACTGTTGACAACCAACACCCACTTACCCCCATTGAAAGGCTTGGAATAGCCAGGACAATTTTTTATATAACTTTGATTTGATTCGTCTGAAAGAAGAAAGTCACATACACCTAGGATGCTTTGAGGGTGAGTAAAACAGGCTAATTTTCATTTTTGGGTGAACTAACCCTTTAAGCAACGTTGTTTCTAAATCCATGCTATGGTAAGTGCACACGCTAAGCTCTGTGCACTTTCTAAAATCCACATTGTGGTAAGTGTGCACACTAAGCATTCTGCGCACTTTCTAAAATCCTGTATGGTAAGGGTTACGTGCTGTCAGCCTCGTTCCCTTTCTCTGAGTTGGCTTAGGCCCCGGTTTTCGCCTTAGGCTCCACTCAAATAATGTATCTCTGTTGATACATTTCTGAGCAGGGTGTTGCTACCTAAGATCTGTCGAGTCAGTTCTTTGAGCAGGTTTATTCAGAACCGGTGGTAGCCCCCCCTGGGTGACAGGCCAGGGTCTGGTGTGATTCCAAGCCTTGAGCTCTGCCCTAGGCTTGGGCTTCCTAGCCCAGCCCTTAACAGGTAAGTTTTTTTAGTTTTTTTAGGTCCGGCCCTTGGCCGAAGGGGATAATGTCACTGACAGCCGTCAAGACGTCCTTTGGGGCATTTGGGGCAACTATGGTAGAGTTGGTACTTAGT